TTAAGAATTTTTGTCATTTTCAAAACAATTTTTTCCGCACTAAGCTCATATTTCGAATTTTCAGGAGTATTTTCGAGAAGAGTATGATAACGGCCAATATTTTTGCATGGATTTAATCAAAGAAATCAACATCGTTAATTTTTTTTCAAATAAAAAATGAATCCGATTGCAGACTATATCAATGGTTGTAACATGCATTGCGTTCCTCGTGGAACAACGCCGCGATAGTGCTAACCAGGTGACCACGTAGCTGCGCATCAATCGCGATAAACCATTTCACAACTATAAATAAACAATACATGTATGTATATTCGAATATGTTTATCTCTCGTTGTCACGTTGATCATTAATCATTTGCCTCTTATAAGACTAAGTTTTTTTCAGCTTTTCTTTTCAATGGATCATCCAAGAAGAAATATCGCATTCTACGATAATAACGTCTTAAGAATGTTATTAGTACAAAAATAACGAAAGGATACAAATTTTCAAAAAATCACAAAAGTAGTAAAAACACATCAGTTGTGTTGTGCATTAAGCATTCTTCACTCACCAATTGTACTTTCTTGTTTCTACTTGGTATTGTTCTGGAATAAAACAGAAAAAACCAAGATATTGTTCTTGGATCCCTTTGTTTGCCTCTTATTCCATTTCGTCTCACTATCAAACCTGTGATCTGAATTAAAGGTTAAATACTTCTCAATAAACATGTGTAAAGTATATCCTCAACATTAAATTATATCAATGCTTCTTTGAGTATCAACAGAAACACCCAAACTGAACATTGAAATAATGAGATATCCCCACCTTAAACATGCAGACGTCATCAAATAATTCCGATTCATCACGTTATGAGCTAAAAAACTGAAGAGGTTGAAATGCAGGAGGATATTAAGAAAATATGACGTGACATATAACGAATCTTATTTACGTTCATTGCAGAATCATCAATAATGGCTCGTTTTGAACAACATTCTACAATTAATTATACAGCTGTATATTTTTCTTTTGGTAATGGGTGAATAGCAAATAAACAAAAACAACTGTTTCACTTCAATAGAAGGATGCATCTTGCGGTACCCGAATAATCTGCCTGAAGACGTTTTGCCTAAGGACAGTTTGCCTAAAGACACGTTGCCTAACGGGCGGATCGTCTAACGGATAGTTCGCCTAAGGAAAGTTTGCCTATTAGGCAAAATATCCATTTGACGACTACCGAGATGAATGACAACTATCGAGATGAACTACTTTTGCACTTACGCAGGCGAGGTTCAATAGAATGGAGGACTGAATTGTAAAACATTAACAAAAAAGGAATACACACTAGGTTTCTTGATAACGTCTGTATGACGTGAGAATGGGGCGAATCGTGAAACTCGTGAGGGTTTAGCAGTACACACTGGTGCGTTTTAGATCCTTGTGTTAATCTAAGCTTTAACTTAAAACTAAGCACATGAGTAATTCTGAGCCTGAATCAACTTCAAAAATGTGATACTGAAACAGTCGTATGTGATACTCTATTTCTACGAGGACCGTAAACTGCTATGAGAACGCTGGGAGTGATATTAGTAGAAAATTATTTCAATAACGACAACCAGAAATCACAATATGTCTAACTTCAAAAATGACCGAAGTGCTCGATCAGCGGTTTTCATAAGGGGGGGGGGGGGGGGGGGGGNGGAGAGGGCGGAGGGTAAATTACCCCATAGGGGTGAATTAGGGTTGTTAATGGAGTAAATAAGGGGGCCGGCAGACTAATATTTCTTTTAGTTTCTAATTGCTGAGGTTCACATTCTTTCCGCAATGTTCTTAAAATACTTGTTTCATTCCAAAAAATTAATTTCTTTCACGTCACTGAGGAATGCCCGGACTGATTTCCGAATTTCTCCTGACGTTATCCGTGGAAATAGCAAATTATTGTAAGGGAGTATCTTCTGAAGTCGGTTTTGTAAGGAACTCGCGTGTTGCTGTGTAAACTCAAGGATACAGCTGATTTGAAAATGGTACGCATGATAGCCCTATAGTGGTGCAGTGACTGATAGATATATTGATCAAATGTGTACCGTTTCAAGGTGTAAAGAATTCGTTCAGCTATATGACATACCCACCTCAATTCGGCTATATTTAATGGGAATATGCAAAATCGCTCATCAACACATACACTTTTCCGGAATGATGAGAATCTGCTGAATCCGATTGTACCGAGAAACAATGGTGCTGATGCGCAAACTTGAGAATACAGCTGGTTTGAATATGGTACTCGAGATATTCCTGTAGAAGTGTATCATTGATCACACAACAGAGATCAAATGTTCCGAGTCTGACTGCATTCTAGAATGGCTCAAGTAGTTTGACATATCTATACAAAATCAGTTATATCTCCCAACTAATCAAAATACCTCGACAACATCCACGCTATTCTGAAAGCTCAGAATCTGTTGAATCCGACTATACTAAGAAACAATGGTGTTGCCGGGTAAACTTAAGGATAAGTTGGAAAATGGTACGCATAACAGCCTTATAGCGCAGTGAGTAATAAAGATAGTGATCAAATGTATACCTTTTGAGGGTGTAATGCAGAATTCCTCAACCAAGGGTGCATGCACCCCCCTCCCCCCTTGGGGGTGCATGACGGCATGCTAGGAAGTGCTGGAGAGGGTAGGGTTATCATAATAAGCCTTGCGATAGGGTTATCATAATAAATATTTGAATATTAATAATAAAGATATCATACTAAATAAGGGATAATGTCGGGCGAATGTGATTATGTCTAACTGTAAGATATAACCATAAACATTATCCCTTATTTGATTATGCATCCCCAAATTCATATTACGATAAATTAGTAAAGCGTAATAATAAAACCAATAAAAAACAAGGAACTAAATAAGCTCATTCTCCACCTCAACGGATCTAACAATGTGTAATGGAGAAGGAAAGTGGTTCTTTTATGGATGTTTTGTGCGATTTTCGATTCGGTTGGAGATGGCGCTACAGGGTCAGTTGAAAAAGGTGAGTTTGAATTATTATGAGATGAACGTTTCTGTATCTGCTGCATTCATTGTTAGATGAAATAGTTGTAGATTTACGGAATAAAGGGGAACTGCTGCGTCCATTAAATACTGCTGATGGATTGAACGGTATCTGCGTGGCTATGCCAACGTAAATGTATGCCGACCGTGCGATTGATTATTGCGTGATTGCTTGCTGATATTATTATTTTATTATTGTATGAACTCATGCATTACGATTGTATTATTCGGTCAGTTTTATTCAGAAATGTAATTTGTTTCATATCGTTGTGTTTCAAATATTTGTTTCCTGTTTCAATATCAATTATAGATTTTTTTTGTTTTTATATGGAAGGGTTTATACAATGTTTTAATTCATTTAATTTTATACAGAAGTGTTCAGTGTTTCGCATCATTGTTTCAAATGTTTGTTTTGCGTTTTGATATTAATTGTGGATTTTTTTGTTTTTATACGGAAGGGTTTCTACAGAGTGAAAAATAAATGAATTTTTCCTATTTGATGTATTCACTCGCACCGCAGGAAATCAACTGAGATTTTAGTTATAACTCGCAGTATTAGTGACAGCTTTTTACATATCTCAATTGATGGAAACATTGCTAATGTACTGTATTCTGTTGCAGTTCATCAGAAGACAACCTCAGGTTTGCCGCGAGTTTGCACAGTTCAGGCGCGATCCTACCGATGATAAATATAAGAGATCGCAATATATCGAGTTTCCTACTACCACCACATGCATACGCATCGCTCAAAAGTCGAACCGAAACGAAGTTTCCTGACCGACTATGCGTTTCAAAATGACGTAGTACGATTCGTCGCGTACAGATTTGTCGTAGACCTGTTCATATGGGAGCACGACAAATGACCAAGCGACAATTGTCAGCACGACGTTTGTCCGACACGTAGTCGATCACACAAACTTTGTTTCGGTTCGCTTTTTGAGTAATGCGAACGCACGTTCACCATTTTGTGTGTGATATAAAACGTGGACTATGTGATATATTTCGAGAATGTTTATCACTATTTTATGGTACTGGTGTCGTTCGAGGGGCAAAACAGCGAGCGTGCAGCAGTACAACAGCGCTATGGCTGACGCTCAGCCTTAGCTTATGCGTAGCCTCAGCCTCACGCTCAGACTGAGGCTGAGGCTACACTTAGATTGAGGCTGAGGCTACGCTTAGATTGAGGCTGAGGCTACGCCTAGGCCGAGGCTGAGGCTACAATTAGGCATAGGCTGAGTCTAAGCCTCATTAATACGCGTTTTATACCACACGCACAAAATGGTGAGCATGTGTTTGCATTGCTCAGAAAACGAATCTAAACGAAGTTTGTATGACCAACTACTTGTTAGACAAACGTCGTGCTGACAGTTGTCGCTTGGTCACATGTCGTAGACCCGTTCATATAAACTGCAAGAATGTTAAGCACTTGTTTACTTTGGGGGATACGCACGCGAGCACGCTCGCCTGCAACAAATGAGGCCACGCCTACTGCGCCTGGCCTCAGCCTAAGTGTAACCTCTGCCTCATCTGAGCATAGCCTCAGATCGTTCGATGTTACAATAGGGGCTATCAAGCGAGCTCAGGCTTAGGCTTAAGCTGAGACCACGCTTAGACTGAGGCCATGCGCAGTAGGCGTGGCCTCGGTCTATGTGAAAGCGTCGCTCATATCGTGTGAGTGTATATGTGTGTCGTTGTACCCCAAAGTAAACAAGTGCTATTTACTGTTTATTGAGGGTACGGAAATCAACGGATTTGAAAAAAGGAGCCGGTGAAGTCAATTGAACGAGTTTAAAATTTTTTGGTTTTTCATATAGTTTTGCGCCCTTTTTAATAACCCCTCCTAAGTTTGGGTCGTCAGCAAGGGCGCATTATTCATAGAATTGACTTAGATGAGACTGAAGGGTTGAAGTAAAGTTTGGTTTATTCAGGATATCACATTTTTGATACAAGTAAATCCTGGAGAGAAAAGAAATGGCGAATAGCAATTTTATTGATGCTGGTGATGCTGAATTGACTCAGATTGGCTTTGTTTTCATCACGGTTTCCGGTATAATAGCGTTATTCATCATTCTAGTGGTTTGGTCACGTTGGGACAATAGTAAAGTGAAATCGGGTGACAAAAGCGGTGAGTGTCTTTTGGCTTTGTATATGGGGTTATGCAGAAGTGACGCCGCGAAAACTTTTCTCAGATTTTAGATGCACTACCAGAAGGTGATTTATGCTAACACAGAAACATTTTCTGCTAAATTTTAACCAAAAATATCGCATGTGAGGCTTACGCCGTGTGTGCTCGAACTTTTTGACCAAATATGACCATTAATTGAGAGTTGCCCTTGTTACTCAAATTTTCGGTTTTTGATGCGGCAAGTAAAAATAATTCATTTTATCATGAGAAAGCATAGCTTTTTTCGTAGCAGTTGAACCATATCCTGAGCTGCTCGGGCTTTTCAGTACAGCAGTGAGCGCTTCTCATGGTCTAGGGTATAGCTCGATTGCTGCGGAATTTTGCGTCGAGTTATCTTATGAATGAATGGATCATTTTAATCTGGCGCATCAAATTCGGAGCAGAAAATTGAGAAATTCAACAAGAAGGAGGAACGCTCAACGCATTGCCTTACTGAATTTAGATTAGCGTGAATCGGTCTCTGCCGCTGCTCCTAAAATTATTAATGGTCTTTTTTTGCATCACTCAAGTAAAAATATTGTTTTGTTCATGAAAACCATCTGGATACAAATATTATCATAATGATGTTTTCTAAAACGTTGAATAATTATTGTGCCCTGCTGACTATGTGTTGTGTTCAGAATCATCCGAAGAGCAGTCCGAAGAGGAAGCTGCAAAAGAATCTTTGAAACCAAATCCATTCAGGAAAACGGCAGTGAAGTCGGCTAGGTATAAGGGGGATAAGGTGCGTTCAGATTTCGTTAAGGGCTTTTATTTTTTCCATTGTTTTATGAAATTATGAGGATGGCTACGTCATTTTTCATACTTGTGAGCAATACTCGTCTGTTGCTGTTAGCGGACAGCTTCAAAAATATTCATCCCCGACATCAAGTAGATGTGGAAAAAATACTGTCAATTTATTTTGAAAATCAAAGCTAAAGCTCTTCTACATGGGAGTATATGAATGAAATTTCAAATCATTCTCTAAGTTCAAGTGATACGTGAGCACCAAATTCAGTTTGTTATGAAGTATTCTACTTCAAATAAAGTTCCAATTTGAAGATCTAATAAAATCGTCAAGTTTCAAGTTTACAAAACTATTCTTTTATCATGAAGCCTCTTCAGTGAACTTCATCGTGCTCTGAATGAACTGTTTGTATTAATAATATCAGTGAATCGTTTCTTGAAGACTCGTGATGTTTTATACGACCATCCGTGGTTGCTGACGACGCTTAAGGGGCACGTAGGACGTGTACTTGATGTCGATTTCTCATCAAATGGTAAATTTTTAGCATCAATTGGAGAGGATCGTTCATTATTTCTGTGGCACACAAAGGTACTATACGCTCCATTCGTTCTTTTCCATGTTATTGGTCTTTTTTACTTCTTGCATCTAAAGCTGTGAAACTATGTCTTCGTTCAACAATACATTGGTTGATCTTCACCTATATATCCATTTCGACATTATTTGCTCTTTTCATTTCAAGCGTTTTTTAATGACAGGATTTCGGCGATAAAGAGCATAAGTTTGCAAGAGGAGCCGTTGAACTGGATAATGCTAAACGGCTAACGTTTGGTCCTGATTCAAAAAGTGTCCTTCTTTCACTGAATACCGCAAACAAGGTTAAACTTTCATCGAAGTTTTGTTTTCATTTGCTTCCGTCATCGTGCAAAACATTTTTGTGATAAAATTCAATTCATATTTGTATTTTTCACTAGGCGGACAAAATTCCAACAGCTGTTTTCTCTTTTGAATGTATATCCCGACAATTTTTTGATTTATTTGATGACATCAATTGATCAGAGTTTCGCTGTTCATAGAAATGTTTCCTCCTTCAAATATTTACCTTATCTCATCAGCAATAAGCAACAATTTCACTTTAAATTTTCATTGTTTTGTTTGTTAGCACATTCTATACTAATGGTTTTTTTTTTTGGTTTCTTTCAAGAATCTTCGTAATTCAGTCATACAGTTTAGTTAGCCGTTTATAAACTTAAACGCAAGGATGATTCATCGCAATCGTACAAATTCTTTCCTGTTGAAAATGTTGATTTTCCCGAAGTGCATGTCAGAGATATCGGTTACAATGGAATCTCTTGTAACGGTGAGAAATTTGCAAGACCGTTCTAGTTGTTTTCATAGTACCAGACAAAGGTAGAACGTCATCTGATAAAAATTTTCTAAGAATTTACAATCAAAAACACTTAGTAATGTAATTTTCTATTCGAATTATAACGTCTAATCGATCTTTCCAAAGTATCGCAACGTTGACTACATACGTTTGCCCTGATTTTAGGTAAATTTGTGATGTCATCATCAGATGACAATAAATTGGTAATATACTCGCTCAGCGGAAGTAAGCTGAAAGTGGTTGAACCAAAATTGAATATCCTCTATGAAGCATCTATCTCTCCTTGTGGACGCTTTGTCGCTGCTTCTGGCTTCACACCTGATGTTGTCGTTTTTGAGGTTTTGTTAGTTCTTTGGAATATCTGATATCTTTTGCAATTATTGCTCATTCACCCGGCTGTTTATTTACAAGTACTATTGTATGAATTCTTTTTGTATTATCGTTATTTACTTCGTAAAGTAGCTCAAAATTGGGCAAATATTTGCAGCTGATTATATACGAATGGCTTGTTTTAGTAGAGATGAACATCTGCCACATCTTGTCCAGCATCAAATAAACCAACTGACAATAAAAAATCCGTTCCATCGATTTCCACTCATACCTTTTTGGTTTATCTATTTTCACCATTGTAGATATTTAACCAGCCAATCAATTTCAGGCTTTATGCGATAATTCGAAGGAATTCGTAGATTTGAAACGAGCATACGAGCTAAAAGTATGAAATTGTCTCATAGTTTTTTCCCTCATTGTTATCGCCGTTTGCTTTTCGCTCGTTTCACTATTCGACGAATGAGTCAACTCTAAATTTCTAACCAGCAACATGAGTCTATCAAAATTATTTATTTAGGGACATTCATCAGGCGTTCTGTCATTCTCGTTCAATCAGAATTCAAGCCGTTGTGTAACTGCTTCTAAAGATGGAACGTGGAAAATTTTTGATACAGATATACGTTACAATTTAGGACAAGAAGCAAGCATTATTTCGAGGTGAGTTGATAAGTGGGTTTTGTTATGTTCCCCAGAACAATGAAGATGTTAGCAAAGAATGGCAAAACTTTTCTTTTTCAATGTTTCAGATATGTTTTTTCAATATTTCAATTTTTTTCTACATTTTCTTTTCAATATCTGCAAAGGTGTGAAGATATAAAGAAAAAAATATGACGAGAAGGCTGACGACACGAGCGCATGATATAATATTCTGAACTTTCTATTATCAGCTTTGTTTCTTTCCCATTAAATTATGTAATGCGAAGTGTATTCAGTGGCGAATGGGACATTTTGCGAAATGCGCCGCCCGAAACCGTATATGCGGTTATGAGTCCTTCGGGGCACAGTTTTGCTATTGGAGCTAATCGGCATGTTCGTCTGTTTAGCACGCTGCAACCTGAAAAAGAGTTCAGGCTAAGTTGGTTTTACTTTATGATATCATTTTGAAACATGAAGTCGACATTTACATTTCCGCGTTTTTTGTAAACAAGTCGAACAAAGTGTTTGCAGTGTAATGACATGACTTTGCTCATGTGTTTGATTGTATTTCGGCAGAAAGTAATAAAATAAGTGTTGTTCAGTGCTTGATGTGCATCAAGCTCCGTTGTGCCGTGTTCGAATGAGTCCATGCGGACTGATGATAGCGACTTGTGGTGATCGGCATATAAGAGTGTTTCATAATGTGGCGGAATACTACAGTTCAGTGGTTTCACTTGAACATGCAATTCGAGAATCCAGACAAGAGGCGAAGACAAGACGACTTCAGGAACAACTAGAAGAAGCCAGACGAAAGCTTGCTACCGTATACAAATAGAGAGCGTTAAATGACTGGCAATGCTCATTTTAACTTCATTCAGGATGTCAACTAGGTACAATGTTTGTATGAAGTATTTTGTTCATCTTCTTATGTTTTTCGCATTCCATCTAACGTTACTGATGTTATTCGTATCATCCTCACCGATAAGTTATTTGTTAGTAGCATTCTCATGCTAGCTTTTCACTCATTATTGTCATAAATCTTGATTTGTCACTGCGAAGTTCATTGTGCAATGAATTGTATGAGCACTACCAATGTTTTATTGTCTTGCCTCGATGGAATTTTTGTTATTCGTTTTTTCTGTGAATATTTGTTCATTTTCCTTTACTGTTTTCCTTCTTTTGTTTCAAGAATTCGAATTATTACTGATATTCTCTTTTAAGGATATCTGCGGATGAATTACTTCCTAATTTATAAAAGATGTTTTATGTGGGTTATTTGCGCGCCCAAGCGTTCATTCAAAATTACGTGGCCAACATCCGTCTAAACTACAGCTGGCTCGTTGCAGATATTTTGCTCATTACAATATTCAGTGTTTCAAAGTCATTCGTTATTGTTATTTGTTACTGGCATCTGATTTGTTATCAGCTTCTTGTCTTGAAGAATAAACGAATTGCGGTATCGTACTAATGTGGCACCTAACTTTTTACATTGGCAGATTTCCGGTCTTTTCTTTGCCATTCAGCTGCTTCATTTCTTGTCTGAGTTCTTCCTCTGTTCGGTAAGTATATTTGCGAATTCTCATCGGGCTTAAGACATATTTCTTCAAAGTTGAAAAGTTTATTTACGTATGGATGAGCAACATGTTTACATATAAGAAGGCGTGACGTATTTGTACTTTTTGCGGAGGAGTAAATAGTACGGAGATGTGGTTGAAGATGGGTATTTGAGGATGTGGGCGTAATGCGTAAAAGCTCAATAAAGAGAGTTTTTTGTTTGTCCTTGCCACTTTTAATTGATAAGCTTATCGGAGGCCGCTTGATAACGTTTTTAGGAGGCGTTCAATAAGTATAGAAGAAGGATGAGCATATGACCAGAAATGTCAACGCTGATTTCAGATGCACTGGTCATTGCACATCCGTTTATTTTTCAGTTTTCTTGCTCACTCAATTTACAAAATCGATACATGTTCAGTTGTGATCGTTGATTCTGTCCCGATCGCAATTAAGCCAAATATCTTTTATCGAATGGTGATGCTGTTCCGAATTCTTTCAAGGTATCGAGGCTATAGTCGAAATTTAACGGTTTCAGCGAAACGACCGTGTAAATTGAATCGGAAATCATTTTAGTAGAGCAGAATGAATTATTGTGATAGTCGAAATTAAGTGCGATTACAACTTGCTTTCAGTTGCGAAATCATGAAAGCATCGCTCATATGCATTATTGTGTGTTGTGACTGTTCGATTGTAAGCAGAGGGGTGCTAGAAACGATCGATGTTGCTTATTCAACGCATTCACCTACTCTGCAAACAGACAATTCTACGAGAGAAAACGAACAGTCAGATGCGAATAAAAGCGAACACAAACAAAACCCTGAAACAAGTGGAAGCGCAGCAATCATCTTAGGATCGAATCGGATGCAAATCTTGCAACCGGAAGGACTAGCATCGTCCATCGACGAATCATTTTTGCAGTCACAAAAAGCGTCTAAATTGGTACATTTTTCGCTAGTCGCCCCGATGAAAGTAATACGCAGTTGCAGTAATCAAAAACAGTTTATTGCGTAATACTCATGTACTGTGTCAAAAGATAGATTCAAATTCAAAATCGATGTTTTTTGCCATTCATTTACCGCAGCAGTAAAAACGTCCCGCTGTCCATTTTTTAAATCAAATTTTCGTTCCTGGAAAAAATATTGAATGGAGGGGAAACCAGAAAATGCTAGTTCGATGTCACTTGACAAATATCGATAGCTGTGATTGCCTTCTCTATCGTTTAACAAATTCTAGACCAGTGTGAACAAAAAAATACCATTTATCAGTCTATTGAGCCACCCACACAGTTTAGTTTTAGTAACTCAATATCACAGACGTTAGCTAAATCAATGGAAAACCGGAAGTGATGTGTTCTTTGTTAATAAGATAAGAATGATAAGGATGAATAACTTAGTGTTGTGCATGTAATAAAGGAATGGTGCCATTGCAGGTCGAAAAACAGTTTTTATACAAATATGCAGTCGATATTGACACAGCGATAACGCGTCACACGTTCACGTGTATGCGTAATGCGGGATATACGACTGCGTTTGTTCGCATCTATCAACCGCATGGCAACGGCATTGTCGATATCCATGCACTGAGCAATCTTGAAAACGCTCACAATGGTCAGCTAACCGTGTTAGAAAACTTATAATCACACTCATTCAGTGATGGATGGGCATGATACTGAAATAAGTAACTTCGCCAATTCGCTAAAAACAAATATTTTTTTTCCGCTGAAATTAATCCACAAAAAACGTTGCTGACGAAATAGTGGCGAAAATTTTCCGCGAAAGGTGTTGCTGATCGGAAGAGGTGGCGATGGTTTTTGGCTAAAACGGTGCTCAGCAAAATTATTTCGCTGATCACTACTTTCAGCTCTTCTGCAATCGCGCTGCTGATCTGTCCGGAAAGAAACTCCATTACGTCATTAAGCATTTGAAATTTTTAAATATTTAATCATTCAACGACAAAACCTTTCAACAACAACTATCAGTCAATAATAAAAACAACAAGAAAATAATGCGGTGACGGCAACAAAAATCAAATATGAACAACAATCAACTGGTAACAGTGCACAGTGCAACTTCTGATTCCTTTTCAAGAACTTCAACGCGCTGAGGGTTTCGTCTGAAAGTCACAACAAAAATGATGCAAACTTCATTTCACTGTCACGTAACTTATATAGCTCAGTGATCTCAAAAGGAATCCTAGTGGTGCACTTATCTGAGGTATATTCAACTTCGACCCGAGTATGATAAGTTCGAATTTAGCACTTGTCAATGCTAGAGTGTAGATAGATATTTTAAATACTTTGACTTTGTAGGAAATAAGCATTTCGTTGCAGACAAAAGTAGCGAATCAGTGGAAGTTTCAAAAAAAGTAGCTCGAAAGGAAATAGCTGAAGCTATCGCTACTTTATTACCTGGATTGGCCAGGCTATCAAACGTCTGCAACGTTGCCGGCCACAATGCCCACGTTTCCGTGCACATTGTTTTAGCCTCATCGCTACTTTATACAGCTAAAAAACTGCGGTAGTGAACGTTAACACTGCAAATTTGTGCTACATAAAACAAGTAGCGAGTTACCGAAAAAAGGAGCTCCGCTAGTAGCGGAATAGCGAACAGCACGCTATCGCCCACCACTGTACTTATCCATCATATTCAAAATGAATATATTCGAATCGTGTACTTATGAGTTCCAGCTGGTCTCGGAGTAGAGGTTTTCGTGGTACCTCAACCGCAAGGAACAAAAAGTGGGAGTGTACAGTTTGACGAAGCGTATAATTTCATGAAGAACAACGATATCACTGTCAACACAATGTGGATTCAGGTATTCTCATCTCGTAAGACGGAATATTCGATTTTCAATCAGGATATTACACTGGAAATTGTTATAAGGCAACAGTGAAGCCTAAGCACTATCGCTTTTTGCAGATAACTTCACCGATTAATTGGCCCAATAACCAGCAAGCAAATATAGCTTTCATACAAGATTTTATGATTCGTGCTAAGGTAAAATTCATTTGTTTGGTTACTCTTCACGCATCGCTCATTTCTCATCAGATTTACTCTTGAAATCTACGATAAGTTCAGCATTCAGTGGATGTATTCAGTTAGTTATCTCTTAGAGTTGTGACGCTCATTTCATTCACTTTGACCAAGATAATAATTTCTCTCGAACAAGTCTTGCAGTTTTCTTTAGCAATATCGGGTTAACGTTGGTCTTTACACAAATTGGTATGATTGGCAACAGATAACAGCTAATTGGTCGAAATGTTCCTTACAGCAACTTCTTCTTTGGTAAGTTGTGACTTTTCATTGAAGTAGTTCATTGTGGAGCTTTTCAATGGACTGAGCAGTTGATTGATCATACATTGATTGATTCATACATAAGTTCTTAGGCTGTTCTTAGAAGATCCAGAAGAGGAAGGTGATTTTCAATGTTCCAGGTACTGGAATGTATATGGCCAAGGTCCATCAGCGATAAACGCGTCCAACTTCGAAGACTTCCGTCCGTTCGCTGGTTTCACCACTCCAGCTGTAAAACAATACTCACAGGGAGTGAGCGTTTGCGGTGCTTATGTTAATCAGAATGTTTATTCTGCTGTTGCATCACAAAGCACAACTTCATCTACCGTCAACAAAACAATAATCGTTGGAACCATTGTTGGATCGCTTAATTAACATTTTATTATTTTTGACAATATCAGTGCTCTTGCCACTTTTGCAAGTTATTCCCACAATTGCGTTTGTTGTTATTCTTATTGTTTATTATTATCGGCACTGATGTTCTCATTAGCACATCACTGTGTTGTGCGAGAAAAAAGGATGTTGGTGTTTTATATGAGTGATAAAGCTTAGCACAATTAACTTATTGCTTGAAGAAGGAAATCAATGCTGCATTAGAATTTCAAGTACTCTAACAGCATTGTTAAGTGGCTGAGAGTTGAAAATAGGGCTAAGAGTTCAATAAAAACAACTTGCGATGAAATTGTTCATTTATTCATTCAAAAAGCACACTCGTATTCGATCCGAATTAAATCGCATGCGCATCAGTTACATGCTAGGAAGACTAACACAGATACACTTTCATGAATATTCAATAAAAAGCAATAACATGCTCTTAAAATGAATATCAAATATTATACGGATAAAAATTTCACAAAAATGATCAATCTTATAAGTATTCATTGCAATGAATAATCAACGATTGCTTAACCAGCAGTAGTTTATTCTCGTTTGCAGCAGATTTATTCCGATTCATTCATCTCTCTCAATCAGTTCGTGTAACTACTGCGAATAACTTATTGATGTGCATCGTATACAGATTCTTTCTCAATATTCAGCCCAGTCCTTTTAAATCATCTTATTGATATTCGATTGAAATTCTCGTATATGTACATGTACTTTAATAAAGTCTGGATTGAGGTAGATGGATAGAATGAAAGCTTCCGTGAAATATGTCAACTATGCAAAATATAGTATTATTCGTGAAGATGATGACACAACTGACGAAGAGATATTTTTGAATAATCTAAAAACCATTTATAAATAAAATACTCGCCTGGAATTTTCGAAACTTTTCTCGTTTGCTATCAATGAATCTTCGAGCTTCATTAGAAGGTTGATCTGAGTAATTTTTGGGAAAAAGTCGGCTGACATTACGAAAATCGAAGATGTTGATGTGTCTGAACGGTTTCCGCGTTCTGATTCGATGTTTCATAAGCATAAGTAATTGAAGGATTTTTCGAGATGAAACGCCAACTTGTGATCCTTATTGTGAGCATCATTTTGTTCGGTGTTGGAACATACGCGAAAGTGAGTTGACCTTTACGTATATTGTTAACAAATTCAAACTGTTTGAATTTCGAACGAAGTATTATTAGTTACAAACTATGCTCGTCGATGAATAATACAGACATAACAAGTGACTGGCTAACACTCTCAGTAATGAGAACAGATCCCCGAGCTGGTTAAAATGATTCAGTCTTAATTGTAAGTTCATGAAGAGGCTGAAAGTTGACGTCAACTCAGAACTTATGCGAGTATGTACGCAAAATCTAAGTCTCAACAAACAGTTAGGCTAGCATCGAAGCGAACTTAATGTGAGTCATATTTATGTGCACTCTGAGTTGGAGTGCGATGATGGAATGAATTGTCATTTTATAGAAGAAGCTGAAAGAGGATAATGCGATTGATGAGAAATCGGTGGCAAACGCTGAGGAGAAAAAAGTGACAGAGCGTGAAAAAGAAGAAGTAATCTCAGATAAAGAAAGGGCGGAATCTGGAGGTAAAAATAGCACATCGAGCGAGTAAGCTGTTGTATTAAATGGCTCATCTTTGAGAATATTTTAAATCAAGTGACCTTTTGGAAGTGCAATTATCACCATAATCAGAAGCATTCTCTCAACGTATCCTGAAATACACGAATCAGTAAGGTTGCCACTGACTTGCAGAGAATTCGATGATAATGAAGGATTTTTAACGAAGATTAGTCAAACGTTTCGCTCTCTCTTCCATACGGTATGTGCTTTCTCAAACGGCATACTGATTTCATCTATTTAGCAGCTCAGTTTTGCATACAGCTGATCAAGAGCTTCTTCAAGAAGCTGGTAATGTCATTGTAGATTTTTCATGGGCAACTGTTAGAACGGCCAGCATGAGAAAGTTAATAAAGAGTCATTCAAGAGATCATTTTGTCTCTTGTTTCATCATGCGGAGTTTCTTATCTTGCAACGATATTTGAAATATTTTTAGTTTGCTGACCCTATTTTTTAGCTATCGTTTAAGTCGAAAGCTTTCATTTTAATAAAGAATAATCACACCTAATACATGATTATTTCAAATAGAAAATTCGATCTCCACGTCAGAAGGTGAATGATTTTTTTCATCTCAGACTTCAAAGAAGTTTTTTTTACGCTCAAAAGTTCAGTAAAATGAATCGTTTGATTACGTATCATTACCATTAAAAATAATTTTGTTCAGCTGGAGCACATCTCAAAATCGTTGATCGACAAAATAATGCATCGATCCGAAGATGAAAATGCATCCAATTCAACATCAACTGCATCACCCACAACGATGACATCAGAGTCGTCCAAAGCAACCAAAATGTCGAGACTGAAGAAGGAACCTGAAATTGATGTTAATGATGCAGCTAGTAATGAAATTGACGATCACTGATTTCACGCATTGTTCGGCTAATCTACCGTACTAAAATCTACTAAAATTGTCTCATAGTTCATATCGTCCTTAATAAACACCTCATAACCTATAGATGAAATTTTTATTGTCGTCATCGCGATAGCTTTGAGTATTGAAATGATTCAATGTTCGTAATGATCAGAATCTTTCGAAGTCATGAAGAACAATTGATTTGAAAAATATTCCAATAAAGCTTGTGAACTCAATGCATTTATATTCCGAATTGTTGAGCGGTAGGAAAAACTCTCGTGTTACGAAAGTTGTGTTATTTGAGAAGGTATGAAGGTAAATTGACATGATAACTAATTGAATAAAGTGCTATCATCTTCAGACTACATTCAACATACTTTCTTTTGGACCGGTCGTGTCCTCAGATCCATGAATAGACCTACTATTTGCATATTCTACACATCCGTTCCCAATTCCATGGAAACCCTTGTAATGATCATGTTCCAAAAAGCATTATTTAGGAAAGAGTTTTGGAGGCATTCTCATGACGCATCGACAGTTGTTGTCGAAACTGAGTCCTCTTTATTTTCCTATCTATTTTCCTTTTTTCGAACAATCACATCAAAATTCAGTAAAAATTTTGAATCACTGCAGAACCGAACACGTGCCTTCGATGCTCTGAAATTTCGAAGGTTTTTAATCAGACCGTAATCTTACAAAAGATTATGCGAAAATTTCGAAAGAATTCAAAATGATTATAACTTCAAAGGGTCGTATTTTTTACACTGGAGCTCGTTTATGGCTCAACCTTCTGAAACACAATCGTTCCAAGTAGGGTTGGGGACTGAAAGATCTTTATTTCCCTTGGCCACTGACAGGGTATATTTTGAGCATCGATCGATTTCGGTCGGTGGTGATCAAATTCCTGTTTGTCGAGGCCATTGACCGATCAGTCATTTTCTGTTGACACTGAAAGTCAGACCCGTTCAGTTCTGGCTGGTGGCACCAAAATTTAGTCCTTGTTTGCCACAGAACAAACACTCGTTTTCGGTTACGGCCGAAATTCGATGGTCCTCGATTTTCGGTGGGCACCGAAAATCGGTCCTTCTCAATCACACCAAACATCAGATTTGCTCGATCTCGTTCGATGACCACTTGTTTTGTCATGTCCAGTCGAGCAAAGTCGCAGCTAACGCGAAAGGCCAGCACAAGTCAATAAAAATGATATGAATTGAGAAAAGAGAGTAGGTAAATAAATTGAACTAGTCGTTGTACTGGTGTACAGCCGTGGTTTGAGGACCTGTTCTGCTCAGAGGGCGTGCGTTCGATTTCGCGCAGGTCAAAAATCTTCGATGGATTTCGATATTGTTATTGAAAGAAATAAAGAAAAATAAAAGTAAAGAGAAAAATAAAAAGGGCCCATTTTTGATGACAAGAAAAATGACAAGGAGCAAAGATTTGCAGCTTAACTGTATCATCATTCTTAGCTGCATCAAGGAATGCTGGATAGCTATCAAATGCTTTTTTGATTATCACTGAGAATTTCAATATTTCAAACGCATATATCTCGACACAACTTCATACTAAACAGAAGTAATAGTTTATCAAAATTTTTGTCATAATGTAGTAGAATGTCATATTAAAAACAAAAGTCACGGCATAGTATATCGGAATGCGTGTAACTGGAACACAAAATTAGCAATAAGTGGTGTTAATATAAAATCGATGATGGATGGCACTGTGAAGTTATTCATTTACCTCATTATTCAAAAAGCGTGTCAGCTAATCATCATCAATCATTTGTCAGTTAATTAAAGACCGACATCTTTGACATCTGCATCTCTTCATCTGAGAAATGCACAGAATGTGTTCATCGTTCGATGACCATTGATGAACGAGCGTTTTGCTGGCCATCAACCAATAAACACGTTTGGTTTCGGTCGGTGGACACAAAAATTTGGTAGTCCTTGATTTTCGGTGACCACCGGAGACAATCATTCCAGCTTTCGGTCGGTGACCACCGATTTTTAACGCATCCGAATTTAGGTGGTCACTGAACTTCGGTGGTCTCGGAAAACTGGTCGGTGGCAACCGACCCAATCCTAGTTCTAAATTATGGTGTTTGAAAATTTTTGTTCGCGAAGTTGTGACTGCTTACAGAATGAAACTGCTTCTGTTGTGTTCGCTGTTGTGAAATGTTCGGTTTGAAGAGGTTCTGTGAATAAAGTATTTCATTCGTTTATATTGTAATCGATTATGATTCATTCAGGTTTGGATTGTTGTTTGGATACTGAGCGGTTGGTTTGCCGATCGCTCTATGCAATCGGCAAAATATTCGTCATTGTTGCGATTGTTTAATGGATTGGTATTCGGCTGTATTCAATTATGCAAATTATCAATTGCAACGAGCGTTTGTTATTGTTTGCTTGTGGAATGTTTGATACGCCGATTGCTATGCATCTACTCGGCCACATTAACTGTTTATTACTGATACCAAAAGATTACTGATTTACTACTGTTGGTTGTTCCAAACAGCTTCTCTGAACGATCGTTGGACGAATGTTCAATCAATCAATCGGAACGTATTTTTGGGCTTCTTCTGAGTCCCTCTCCCCAAAAATCATTGAGCAGTAAGGGAGAATAGCCCAAAACCTCTGTGGTTGCCAAATCAATAATCCAAGTTAGAATTTCGTAAAGACAGGTGGTTCCCAACGCTATTATTGTTAACTGCGCGGAGAGAAGAATGCCAAGTAAGCAAGAATATGATATTGGTGATAACAGAGTGGCATTACTCGTCATGAGTTGGATTTGCTGATTAAATAAATAAATAAATAAATAATAAATAAATAAATATGTTCATTCAAACGGACATCTTCAATATGTCACCCGGCTGACTTCCGCATTTAATGAGTATTAGGTGTAGCGTAGTTACTGCTGAGTGGATAGGACAGTAATAATCTCATATGCTTCACAATAGTAATTTGCAGTTTTATGCACTTAATCTTTTGCGCTCATTTGCGTTTGTTTCGTCTTTATTATAGTCGAAGGTGATAGTAATTGATCGATTGAATTCAGTGTATTCTTTCTGAGAGGATCATTCATATGGAATGACGCTGCCAACATCGTTATCACTGACAATCGACAGTTTTATGATGGTATCTTCGTTGTTTACAAGAAATTGCGTTTTTGACATAATTGCGATCACTCAACGTACGTAAACGATGGTGCATATTTTTCGCAGTGCTCCTTTAATATAATGATTATTACATTTCCGAGCTGCGTTTCAGTAACCACAGATTAGCGTTAAGCACATATTTCACTCACCACGTTTCGATAACAAATTTTTTCCTTACTGTTTCAATTCAAGATATGAAAGTCGCATGCGATAATTGATAACAATAAAACTTGTACTACTCATAATACAAATTCAGTCGCGCATGATCGTTCATCGAATTTCATTATTATAAATGAAGTTCTTGCTTCCTCCTCTCAAACGTATGATTTTTTCAATAGATTTGCACAATATCGAAATTGAAGACTGCTTTCACTGGTGTGATTATTTCAACGCATAATGCAAAGCATTTCAACGAAATGGTTCTGCATTTTACGATGGGAACCTTGTTGATATGTATTTATTCGATATAAGAGTGTTGTGTATATGTGTATGTATTGATGACTGGTTATGAAATACTAAAATATTGTGCATTTCACGAAATATTATAACCAGTTATCAGTGACAAACGTTGCCAAGCATAGTTGTTGATATGAAACACTAAATTACCAGTTTTGGATAACACTTTTATAGACGGATTCAACATGATAAGTGATTTCTGTTTCGTTGTTTTTCGTTTGTTGCTGATCAGCAAAACGATTGTACGAACGATCTAGGCCAAACTTGATCTCATACTCACCAATCATGACTTATGTGAATGTTTTGGACCACAAACAGTCTGCTATACTAACGGCATACTCTTGCTTTAATTAATATTCGTATTTATCATTGTCATTATCACAGCTGGTCAAGCTCATATTATCACAAATTACATCTATTATTTTTTCCTTCTATTAATACATCAATTCTTAATGATAGAACTTCGACCACAGTTACAATTTTTGTGTGGAGAAGAGTCACTTTGATTGTATTCAGTTCGTTCTACAACGTCGACATTCAATCGCCACATAATGCTCTAAAAACTTCTCTTTTCAGCTTCACCAAATGCTTTCTTTTAGCAGAAAAATTGTGCGTTTAGCGAGGTCAGCGCGCTCTTCAAAAAATTATCTTTTCATGAGATGGCAGCATCGCTCAGCAAAAGTAAACTCTTGAATTTGACAATGATGTTGGTTGTTGCTAGTAATATCATCTACTGATGAATAACTGATGCTGTTAATTCTTTGATTGATTTATATATTTATGGGACAATGAGATCATTGATGGATTTTAAATGAAGGAGTCGGTCCTCTTAATTTAACGAAAACTGTTAAAGTATATTTTAATTTTACCTCTTATTAACCTATTTCTTATAATTTACTTAATCATACTTTACATTTCCAAAATTCATCAACGTAATCTAATTTTACTTCACTATGATTTTGGTTTTAGCATACTTCAACTGTAAGTTTGTCGATCTGAAACTTCCCAGTCATTGCAACCAAAATTTCTCACAAAGGAATACTAAAGAAAGAATAACTGATCTCTGCAAATTTCTATAAAGAATCAACATTATTCATTAATCGGCATGACATGTATGGAAAACTACCAATTTTCAAAGCTGAGTCTGCTACAAGTTTCGAATACGCTTCACCTTCACATTACCTCACTTTCAACTTTTGAAAGCTTAATTTAGCAATACTTTACCCGTATTCGATTCCCTTATCTATAGTGTGCCTTTATCAAGGTCAAATATAAATAAACCTCATAGTTCAAGTGGTAAACCAACGCAATTAATGTAAAACCATTACAGTCCAATGAGAGAACACTTCGTACACTCACTCATGCTGTTTCAAGCAAACAACCAAAAACGGTGTCTATTTGTGAAGCTATTTCACGAGTTTCGTCTGGTTTGTCATCTTCACTTATATATTCTTCTTTGTTACCTGCTTCCTGAATGCGCAATTTTGGATTGGTACGATAGTTATTGAGGATCAAACATATACGTACATACGTGTGCTGCTACTCCGACCGAACTGCTCAAGGAAATGTGTATTCAAGTTGAGAGCGGAAAACTGAACGATCTACATTTAAATCACATCTTATTGGCCGGAGCAATTCCGTGGACCGAACAAAAATTTCATGGTAACTATCGCATTATCACACATAATTATCAATAGTGGAACATTTATGAAACACCAATATCGTTTGAAATATTAAACGCATTATCTTTATAACTCACAGGCATAACATCTCAATTACATTTTGATACAATTTTCACAGCTCTCACGTTCAAATGTTTACCCAAATCTTCTATCTGCTTACCCACCTCAAAATGCGCGACTTCAGGCAAAATTCGATCGAACTGCATGTTCCTCGACTCAGGAATAAGGAAACTCGTCCAGCAAGGTAGGCACTTACTATGACCACTTATTTCAGCATTGTTCATTTCTAGATCTAAAAACAATTCCTAATTATAAAAACTGAATATTCTGTGGGATATTTTATATTTCTAGAATGGAATTTTTAGTTTTCTCGACAGAATATCCTTTTGGATCATCATTCTGCACTGGTCAGCTTGACATGAGTCCATTCGTAATCCACAAAAATTTTTTCAGGGTCAAAAGAAAGATATGTTTTTTTAATGTTTATGGTGATTCGCAATCGACCAGCGACTTGTGTTTATAGGCCTTGCTGATTACACGCCAATGTTTTTGTCTGATACGAGCACTCTCTACAGTACTTTCGCTATGCCAGTTGATGTAGCTCTTATTACGGTCTCACCAATAGATGAACACGGATACTGTACGTTGGGGGTGAGTGCCGATTGCTCAGTTTCAGCAGTGAGAGCGGCTCGGAACATCATTGGTATGATTCAATATTATTAAGATTAAGCAAAGAATTACGCTCAGCGAGTCCTGTCATTGCTGCTCTTATATCTGTATTCCTTATGGGGCGTTCAAGTTCTTTCGAATTCGTATTGTTAAAATTATTCGTGCCAAAACGTCTCTCATCGACAAGTCGATAAGTCCAAAATTTTCACAACTGTTCCTAAACATGCATCTTTGTAATCCGAATACAAAAAATGAACCAAAAGTGAGCAATCAAATGAATTTGAGCGTTGGTTAATGAAACAATGCCGCGAACCTTCGGTGATACAACTATACATTGTTCGCATATTGATGCGTTAGTGAATGCAACAACAGCGATTCACGCAAAAAGCGATTTGAGAAACACTGAAAGTGATGATGAAATTGGTAAACTGATCGCAGAAAATCTGGTTGACAATGGTGCGACTTTACAATTGGGTAAATTATTTCCTTGCGGTTATTTTTTCCATGAAGCATTTCTGTTCTTGAATGTGCATTTTATTTTGTGACCTTTCACGGTTCAAACTAAGAGTACATAGCAAATTTTTAACGTATATTTTTAAAGTAAGGCAAAATAAAAGTGTGCATTCAAAGCTGACATTATCGACGTTCATAGTGAAGCAATTTTGGCTAGAGTAAATATGGAAAGACGTTACAAGCATTAGAATCCAAATTTGGCACATTGAGGAGCACTCTGATCGGTTGAGAAACTCTAAGCTTACTACTTACTAGCAACAACCAGTAGCAATTTCAGCGCTAACATAAAAATTCAAGGTATTGGTGCAATACCAGATTCCGTCCTTTCGGCAATGCGAAATCACAAAGATCTCGGCATACACACGGAGATGTTCTCTGATGGAGTGATTGATCTGATTCAACGAAATGTTATCAACAATTCAAAAAAGAATGTCGATCCCGGAAAAGTGATAGCGACGTTCGCCTATGGCACTGAACAGTTCTATAAATTCATCAATAATAATCCCCTTTTTGGTATCTTCATTACCAGCTTACAAATGATACATGCTATCGAATCGTTTATCACAAGTTGCGGTTCACTTCTTTATTTTGCAGCATTCCGAAGTTGTGCATATACGAACGATCCGCAGCTGATCAGAAGGCATCATAAAATGACTGCGATAAATTCAGCCATTGAAATAGATCTTACTGGACAGATTGCATCTGATTCCATTGGAGCTTCATTTTATTCAGGTGCGTTTTACTGGTTGTGATTAAGTAGCCAAAAATTGAATAATGTAGTTGACGGCCCCGAAACGTTTCAGAAACTGATGCTTCACTTCAACAAGTTGAAATGATATTCTTTTAAACTTTTATCGTTTCTTAAACCTCGCTCTTAAAAGCAGCAATCTTTGAAATTTGCAATGACATGAGAATTTTGACTTAAAGGATTTGGTGGTCAGACGGATTTCGTCTACGGAACTGCGACGGCTGAGGATGGGCAAGGAAAAGCAATAATTGCTTTGCCGTCAACAACCGCTAAGGGGCAGTCCAAAATTGTACCATTCCTTAAGGAGGTTTGTTTTTGTCTTGAACTCAGCATTATCAACTTTTACTGAACGAAACACATGTGTGTGAATCCGGAAACGATTACAACTTGCCACTGTTATTAAGAATTGAATGCTTCCGCTACCTTACATTTCATATACGTTGCCGTTTCCAGTTCCACTTGCAAGGTTGATTGACCGAAAACGCGATCATTACATAGTGAGAATTGTAAAGCCTATCCCTGACCAAAGCAAATAGGGAAATTCATTGTTGTCTTTCCAGTCAGTAGAATGAATGCATACAAATCTCAGGGTGCTGGTGTCGTTGCTACAAGAGGTCATGCAAGATATATTGTCACCGAATATGGCATTGCAAATATATGGGGGAAATCGGTACGGCAACGTGCTTACGAATTGATCCGAATTGCACATCCTGACCATCGCAAATCGCTTGAAAAAGCCGCTTTCGAACGTCTCAAATGTATGCCAAGTAGAGGCTGAGCAGTCTTGAACCCTACGAATGCAAACAAATTTAGTGTCGCTTAATGTGAACATGCACTGCCGTCGGTCCTTCATTCGTTTGTTTGTTGTATACCTCTTCTTCATACGTTCAAATTCAATATTCATCATCATCAAAATTATAATAATGCAAGTGCTAAACTTTTTATGTACATACCACATTCACCTTCATAATATTTATTACAGTGTGAAAATTACTGATTATTATGCCCCATTGCACAGTGATTACAAAACATTGAAACAATCGTTGAAGATAATACGAACAGTAATTAACAGATAAGAGTATGTATACAAGTGATGTGTTAATGGATGTACACAAATCACTTTTTTCTTCTGTTTCTATACTTGAAAGATTTTTCGGACAAATTATAAAATAATCGAAGTGTTTATCGCCAACACTTCAAAAAAATTTCCTGAAAGAAGAAATCAAAAGTAAAATAATGGCGGCGGGGAGCAAGAACGGATAAATAAATAGAACTGTACCGATAATGAGATGACTGTAACACAGCAATCGTTAAATGCAAATCAACGAATTATAAACACTCAACATTCGGGTTTCGCCGTCGGAATTTCCGGAAATATATCCGAATTAGGAAAAGTTGACCTAATGACTGAATCGGCCAGAACACAGAGATCATAGCCAGCTTTATAATACAATGTGTCAACTGCGTTGAATTTAAAGCAATTACTAAACATACGACGTATATCGGCAATAAATAACCGTTCCTGCAACATTAACGATTTTAATATTACGTTCAATTATTTTTTTTAGCTCAGAGTTCGTATCAGTCAAATGATAATTAATCTAAGCACTTCGAAGTTTACAAAAGAAACAAAAAAAACTAATTGCAATGTGGAGAACGCAAGAAAACTTTGACAGCAAAGGGAAATGCTTCTAACAAATTCCTTTTTTTCTAGCTAGTTAACAAATTAACAATAACATTAACAAATGTCATAGTAGATGATCAGATGTCGACAAAATTTTAAGTCATCACGAAGAAACACAATATTAACGAAAAATGACTAACATGAACGTAATACTTATGTTTGAATCGTTCAGTGATAGTTTTGAAATCAATTGGATATGGAATATAATCATAATATTCTTTCACTTCAGCTGCATCAACAGGCTTTAAAAATGGCCACGCCGATTTATCGGATTTGAGTTTATTCAATATGCTTTTTATTTTCACTTCAAAATCCTCACTTGGTGGAGGACCTCCTGGTATATGTTCAAAGCCAGGGACATCACATGGTGACAGCTCCACACCACCTTAACAGAAAACATGAAAAAACATTACGTATGCCAATTCACACGTAACTCAGTAATTCCAAACCTATAATAGACATAAACAAATCAGATGAACGGCTCACCTCTCACATACACCGTCCTTCTTGAAAAAATTATTATTAGACTGAACGGTACAAAATAACTCAAAAATCCTCAAACGACTACTTTGCTAGACCATTTCTGACAGCAAAAAAGATAGATCAAAGGAACTAATCGAATTATAGAACCACTGACGGTGTTGTTGGAAGATGTGCTCAATCCCGCCGTATTTTCTATTTGTGTCATGAATTTGACGTTCTTTCATCGCACTTTTGAACAAATTTCTCAACATTTTGCACTGTACCGAAAAATCCGTATATACAATCCTGGAATTCAATTAGGGTTGATGAAAGTTGATTCGTTCAACAATGATAGGCTGCAGTGGATATAATTGTTCAATAACAGGATGCAGTCATTTACTAGGTTAAACATAACTTTCCATGTGAAACAAAGAGTAATCGAACAGTTCAGTAAGAAAGAAGAGTACAATTAAATAGGGAATAATTTGAGGAGAATTAGAAATATTAAGAGACTTGACGTAGAAGCTCACTTTGGATGTAGCTCACAACCCATTAATGTGGCCGATTCATAATCCTTTATAAAACCATGATATTTCTCGCGTGATATTGTAATGTTCTCCGAAAAACCTTGCTTTTTAAAATAACCAATGGCAAATTCATCTGCATACGTGAGGAAATGATAAATCTGGCATGTGCCTACATGATAATCTTTCAAACGATTCATCATATGTGTCCCATAACCTTTTACCTGAAACATGTTTTGAATATGAAATTCAACCCGTATGCATCCTCAGAATAAATATATAGAACCATGAACTAATCGCGCCTATACAAATCAAGTTGTATAAACGTAAATGATCAATTTATACCTGTTCGTTGGCCATCACAGCACAGAATACAATTTCAGAGAAACCTTGAGTAGGAAACTGACGGAAACAAATGCCACCAATGACGATACGATCTGAACATACTTCGACAATTGAAAAGAGGGTTTTTTGAACTACATCACTTCAAGAACGAGTTACAGTTTGATGGTCTTTGTTAAACGAATAATGTGATAACCAACGATTTTTAACAATGACGAGATTCTTATGTCGATAATCAAATACCATCCGTGTGATGTATTCTTTTGGCATACAAGGTAGTTGCGCACTAAACAAACGCTGTAGCTGAAGAAGCCATGAAAGTTTTATTTGACTTTGACATGGGTCCAATTCCATACGATTCGAAATTATGTGAAATGATGTTATACCCATCACCTCCTGCAAACATTAATGAGGAGATTTCAGTAGGATTACAAAAATTATTTCAAAAATAGAATAATAGAACAAAATATCAATGCAAAAACAGTGAGAGTTACTTTGCCCACAATCGGCTTCTGTTTTCGAACAATCATGAACGCAATTAGTTAACTGGTGATAATCTCTGAATGCAAGCACAACCGATTAGTTAATGCATTTTACTTTCCTTAAATGCAAGCATTTAAGGAAAGTAAAATTAATCAGGGCTATGCGTCAATTTATTCACTGGAGTTGTTGACAGTAAACAGATGAGGAAAGGTTTCTGAAATAGTTTCTTTCAGTGAGCAGGTTACACAAATGAAATTATGAACCTCGCGACGTGATGCTTCAGTTCTAGCAACATCAATTTCGAATAAATCATCTCCGGATGGCTGCGAAGGTGACTGCTGTGCGGCAATTTCAGTTCTTAAAATGATACGCTCCATTGTCTCGTCATCAATATCATCATATATCGTTAAATGGTCGCTTTTATCACGACCAGATTCTGAATTATTCATGAGTTTGTGAGCAATTTTGGAGAAGTAAAATTGACTGCGATCAAACAAATGATACTTTTTTCTTGACTTATATAGGACGGCACAGTACTGATCTCTACCAGTGTGCACCCGCTTCTTATAGTTAGTAATCGCAAAAATTGCAATCATTAACGTGACGGTAGATAATACTGAACAGCTTAATAAATGTGACGACAACTGCGATAAGAATAGCAATAAAATCTGAGGAAGCACTCATTTATCACTCCAAATTTCACAGCTGAGCTCAACTGTCAAATTCAGAATTTGTTTCATACCTTCAGAGCATTCAGAAGTCGTTTCAGAAAGATGACCATTGGATATGCTCCAGATCGGAAGCCCAGATTTAACAGATGGACTGCGAACGCCTTCTGGTAATGCATAATTAGTTCTTGGATAACTTATTGAATCATTTTGAATCAATGCCGTAAGTAGAGTGGATGCAAATTCGATAACATTATTCAACAACTGCAATGAATTTCTAAATATTAGAAGATCAGTGAAGTACGAATCATTTGCAACAAAGTGTTCGCTGGGAAATATCTTTCATAAATGTCCTGTGACAAACAGTAAAAAAATCATTACAAATTCGAAACAGATTCGATGAATTATTGAAAATTCAAACAGAGAAAAGAAAATGGGAAGCAAGAAATTTATTCACAAAACGCTCATGAATTCATATTCAAAATACGGTAATAAAAAACGAGGAAAATACTGAAAATAATGAGTATGACTGAATGTCAGAAATTTACTAAGAATGCTGAAGAAACGAACCCCATCCTCAACGGTCCCTCTACATCGTTCTAATTCACTGATGAATTTCGGTAAATACAACAGAAGTAATTTTCTTCCAAATGTACTGACCAATTGGAAACGTTGCAACGATTTATATTCATGAGGCAATGAACAAAACAATAACCAACGAGCGAATACTATTCGATATTCTAGTGAATCTTCCCTTTCCACTAGAAATTAATTCGAATCAACTCTTCCAAATGAATGAAAGAATGATAAAAACGTGAAACGATCTAGCAGTAATCATTCATGAAAATGATAAACACGAAAACAAAAGATCAACTGGATTCACTCACCACATTCAGTTGTATTCGGTATTGGCAATGACCATTCATTCAGAGCTCGTAAGAATGTTGAAGCGGTTTCAATTTCGGTTTCAATTTCTCTGAACCACATTATTCCCATCAACTTCACAGGTAAATAATGCAAAACAAATGAGCTTTGGATACTTAAAAACAAAGTCTATGAATACAAACGGATCGATTTTGAATGTTTACTTGAAGAGGGAAAAGAATAAAACCGATTCCATATCGTGGAATTCATTCATTCACCATACTCACCTTCGTTTGCCTTCATGTTTCACCACAATAAAATTACAAACAATTTTCACAATTGATAATGGCTCGAACGGTGGTGAGCCAAATGGACTTTCGAAGAATTTTTTACAACGTCCTGCGGATATTGCCTTTTTGTACATATTTAAAAGCATCAAAACCACCTGAAAAATTCAATGGTAAAGTAGAAAATTATTTTCACTCAATTTAGCTTACTGCAAAAAAATTTAAAAAATGCTCAAAATTTTCCAACTCAGTATTATTTTTTAAAAATCATATTAAACAACGGAAAAGAAATGGGCCCTGAAATTCTTTGAATATGATGAAGAACATAATAAGGCTGAATATTTTGAACATTCAACGAACGTAATGAAAACTCTTAACCTGTAGTACTTCAGGACTATCATCTCCTTTAAGACGTCTGTGCATATTCTCTGCATCCGATATCAACGACAATAATGCACATATATCGCGTTCCTTTTTCTTTTGAACATTTTCTACATGCTTGCCTAAAGATAAAATAGTCGGAGAAAGCTTGCAATTAAGAACCTTCTGCCGCGGTAAAATAACAAAAACGATGAGGTTAAACTAAGAAGATAGTCTCACAATTTGGAAAGGATATACATAATATGTTATAGTGTCACACTGGTACAATCAAATGATGGTAAAACGTTATCCTGTTTTCAATGAGACAACTGGATTACAAGAATAGAAACGAACCGAGTGAGTGAGTACATCGACGACATTTTGCGTTAAAAGGTGTATTACGCATCCAACTTTCATCACCCTCATAAGCTGCATCTGTATTCAAGTTAACACTATGTCTCCAACCATCACAATTGCACGACGCACATCGCGAATACAACGCTAGTTTTTTCCATTGTCTGTCGTCCATTGAATCGTCATCTTTTGTCGTTACTTTCATATTATTAACAGAGCTGAAAAAGTGAAATGTTAAAAAAACGCATATCCCTCCAAATATTTTCATATTATGTCTCGTCAGAAAAAGTCTTGCGTGCATCGTCAAGTTCGGCTGAAAACTAAGAAAACTCATAACTTATCAAACAAAAGGAAGAACGTCAATTTTGTGAAGAACACATCAGACAGCAATTGAGTCCTTCATAAAATCACCGCAATTACGTAGCGATTAAGGAAGGCTCTGTAAAAGCTTCGGTTCTGCTTGCAAACGGCCGAACTAGTCAATGGGCGTGTACCAAAGCAGCATGAAGACAGAGAGAGCAACGCGCGTTAGTGGTTTTCAGACACGTAAAGGAGTGTGCTTGCGATGAAGAGAGAAACGGTGC